GTATGATGGGACGGGAGACTCCTAGGAGCATGTCTTGACCTATCAGGCAGCCATGATGCTCATGGGGTCATCGGACGCCTTGATGTGTCGCGCGTTTTTCTCCACGGTGTCGGGAGGCGCACAACGTTGGCTTACGAACTTAAAAGGCGGCTCATTAAGTTCGTTCCAAGATCTGGCCACTGGGTTCATTACACACTTCATGAGAGGGAAGAAGTGCAAGAAGCATTTCACACACTTGGCCAGCGTCAAACAGGGAGGGGACGAAACTCTCACTAAGTTTCTCACTAGGTGGAGGAAGGAGGAGGCCGAAGTCGAGGATATGGACGACCGATCTGCGATGGCCATATTCATCACTGCCCTCCCAGCAGGAGAACTGTACAAGAGCTTCCGTCGCAAGACCCCGGGTCGTATGCGGCCTTGATGATGAAGGCGAACCGATATGCCGAGGCCGAGGAGGCCAACCACATGAAGTGTTTGGAGGAGTATGGCAGCAGTAAGAAACCCCGACTGGAAGACCTGCCGCGCCCCAAGAAAGGAACCGGCCAGGAAGGGTCGGAGGATAGGAAGATTGGCCCCGGGGGGAGGGGGAGGCCCGTCAGAAGCACCCGAGTGCCCCCACTGCCATGGGCGCCGGCTCCACCTGCGCCTGGGGCAGAGCGGACTTAGCCGACAAGGCCCATGCCTAGGGGTGAGCAAACGGTCGGTCGGTTACATAACCGACCGAAAAACCGAATAACCGACCGAGATATTTTACCTCCGTAACCGACCGAAACCGACCGAAGGTCGTTCCACAACCGACCGAAAACCGATCGTCGGTTTTCGGTCGGTTTCGGTCGGTTACCAAAAAACCGATTTAAAGCAAATTAATTCAAACCCAAGTCAAAATCCAACATGTAATAGTTAATACACACTGCCAGTCAGTCACTACAAATTAATTTTAAAAAAGACTAAAAATTAATAGGAAATCAGCCACAAGTCCACAACTCACATTCTCACAAATAGTAACACACTGACTAACACAGTCCATTAGTCCAACACTCCAAGTGATAGAACAAACAATTAAACACATTGATAATTCTAAAATCACATCAATTTTACAGGTTAACACTTTATACTTAACACTTAACACTTAATAGTAAACAAAAATTAAAATTAACAATATTAACGGTAAAATACACATTGTAAAAGTGTAAAATTAAAAATACACGGTAAGTTTTCAAAAAAAATAAAAACACACTGTAAAATTAAAAACACACTGCTTTTAAAATTAACTGTAAAATTAAAAACACTATTAACAGTAAAATTAACTATAAACACTATTAAGTGTAAACAAAAATTAACCATAAACAATTAACAGTAATTAACTATAAAGAATTAACAGTAAAAACACTATTAAGTGTAAACAAATTAACAGTAATTAACTATAAACAATTAACTTAATAGTAAATAAAAATTAACTATTAACTATAAACAATTAACAGTAAAAATCTATATAAATATATAAATATATAAATATATAAATACTATATATCGGTTATCGGTCACCGACCGATAACCGACCCCCAATAACCGTAGTATAACCGAAAAACCGAATAACCGACAATTTTTTAAAAGTGATAACCGTGACCGACCGATAACCGATTTTTTCGGGCGGTTCGGTTATCGGTTAGCGGTTATCGGGCGGTTAACCGATATTTTGCTCACCCCTACCCATGCCCCCAGCGACACGGGTGGCCCAGCTGATTGCCTCATTCACCCCGCTCATCGCCCCTCTTAGTGATATAATAGCCTACACCGAGGAGTGCCAGCTGGTGAAGACGTTTGGTCCCAACCCAGATCCATCGGGTGCGAACATGACCAGATATTGCAAATTTCACCGCTGTCATAGCCATGCAACCAACGATTGCCAAGCGCGGAGGAAGGAGATAGAGATCCTTATACAAGCGGGGAAATTGATGGTGATTGATATATTGGACCCGGACGCTTCTGCCCAAGCCCTTGGGCCATTGCCGGGTCGGCCTAAGCAGCTCGGCTATGGGCCGAGCCCAGCCACGGACGAGCTCGGTAGACCCGAGCTCGTCACCATGGACTTCGGCCACTGCCGAGTCGGTCCATGGTGGACTCGGCTAGGCCGAGCTCGGTACATAACTAGCTCGGCCATGCCGAGTGGCCTTGCTTTGGACCAGGTCTCGGGGGGGACGCGGTCAAAGCGGCCCAATCTGACCACCCCGGTTTTCGGGGGTGCGGTTGGGGGGTTTAGTTGATATAAAAGGCCCCCACCTTGTCCTAACAAGGACACTTCATTCCTTACACAATACTTTATAGCTATTATTGTCCTAATCAAGCCCTGTAATAGCTTATTAGCGATACTTAATATAATATACAGTCTCCGCGACCTACGGTCCCTGCGACCTTATGATATCCTTACGTTACATTTATTTATTTTATATTACGTTCTTATCTGGATTTATTGATTCGGGTCTACCTCGGGTTAATTAAATCCATCCGACGGGTTTCATAGATTGGGAGCAGATGGCTGCGAGGAATGCCCGACGGACAACTGTCGGGCCTTCTAGGGCGGACAAAGAAAAATCGGCCGACCCTAGAGAGGATCCGGGAAAGCGCCCAGTGATCAATGTCATCTTCGGTGGGTGGGTCCCAAAGGAAGATGGTGGCAGCTATGTGGGGACGGTGGACGACCACCCCCAGTTGAAGAAGCCCTGCCGCGAACCGATTTGGTTCTCCAACAACGACTTACCGACGAGAAAGGCTACCCCAAAGGACGCCCACGTGGTCGCCATGGTGCTTAACGGGGTCTGCGTCAAGCGCGTGCTAGTCGACACGGGGAGCAGTGTCAACGTGATGTATCATGACGTCTTTGTGAAGTTAGGGCTGAGTGAGGACCAGCTCGCGCTAGTGAGGACACCACTAGCTGGCTTTACCAGAGACACCATAGAAACAGAGGGGTCAATAGTGCTCCCCGTGGAGGTAGGCACCCCCCCCCCCACATGTGAAGAGGGTAGACATGGAGTTCTTAGTAGTCAGGATAGTATGCGCCCATAACATCATCTTGGGGAGGCCTGGGTTGGCTAGGTTAGGTGGAATCATCTCGATGGAACACTTGTGTTTGAAATTCCACACCCCCGAGGGGGTGGGGACGGTGCGGGGAGATCAGCACCTCGCCCAAAAGTGCTATAAGACGGCGCGCGAAAGGATGCTGACAGATGGATTACCTATTCATACAGTAGAGAAAGAAGTAGAGAAGGAGAGGAAGGCTGGACCTGAACCAGCCGTAGAGTTCGAGGAAATCCCTCTGGATCCAAGTCGGCCTGACAGATGCGTTAGGATAAGCAGGGGCCTTACCCCAGGCTACGGGAACAGATCATAGCTGTCCTATGTGAATACTCTGTGGTATTCGCATAGGGCCCCAAAGATTCGCATGGGATCGACCGGTCTATTATATCGCACAAGTTGGCGGTGGATCCCAACTTCAAACCCATTAAGCAGAAGAGGCGACACCTGTCAACTGAAAGGAGGGCGTTCGTGAAGACAGAGGTGGATACGCTCTTAGCGATCGGGCATATACGGAAAGCAATGTATCCAGAATGGCTAGCCAACGTGGTCCTAGCCCCAAAGCCGCCTACGTGGCGTATGTGCGTGGACTACATAGACCTAAACAAAACATGCCCCCAAGACCCTTTTCCTCTGCCCCGCACGGACTAGCTGGTGGACGAGACATCGGGATGCGAACTGCTAAGCTTTATGGATGCCTTTAAGCGATATCACTAGATCTTCATGGCGGAGGAAGACGAAGAAAAAACGACGTTCGTGACATCGGATGGCATATACTGCTACCAAGTCATGGCGTTCGGTCTGAAAAATTCTGGAGCCACATTCACCCGCAAGGTAGCAAAAATATTCAAAGACCTCCTCGGGAATATACTATAGGCCTACGTAGACGACAAATTGGTGAAAAACAGGGAAGTAAGTACCCACCCAGGTTATTTAGCTTAGTGCTTCGAGATTATGAAACAGAAGAACTTGCGCCTGAATCCAAAGAAGTGTGTGTTCGCGGTGACAGGAGGGAAGTTATTGGGCTTCATGGTTACCCATAGGGGGATAGAGGTCAACCCCGAGAAGGCACAGAACATTCTAAAGATGCAACCCCCCACCTCGATAAAAGACGTCCAACGACTCAATGGCCACCTGGCCGCCTTAAACAGATTCATGTCTAAGCTCGCAGAGAAGTCCCTCCAGTTCTTCCAAGTCATGAGGCAGAGGAACGAGTTCACCTAGACCACAGAATGCCAGGAGGCTTTCGATCAGTTCAAGGCATTTTTATCTGCAGCACCGGTCCTTTCCAAGCTAGAGAAAGGGGAGACCTTGTACGTATATCTCGGGGTAGCACCCGCGGCCATCAGCTCGGTGCTACTCAGGGAAGAGGCTGGCGTTCAGAAGCCTATCTACTACGTCAGCAAGGCTGGAAAAGACAGTTTATGCCCTCGTCAGAACGATCCAGAAATTAGTGTATTATTATTTCCAGGCGCACGACGTAATTGTCCTAACCGATCAGCCTCTAGGCACCATCTTGAGAAACCCCGTTTCGTCAGGCCGCATGGTAAAGTGGGCGGTCGAGCTCACCCAATATAGCCTCGAATACCGCCCCCGCACAGCCATCAAGGGCCAGGCCCTGGCCGATTTCATTGTAGAATGCACTATCCCCGATAACCGGCAGGAGGGACGGGAAGATCCAAGGGATTGGGGTTCCAGAAAGAAGGGTTGTGGGGGGGGGGGTTGTACTCACCTCGCCAGAAGGATTCAAAGCTTACCAAGATCTCAAGTTCAGCTTCCCTCTTTCCAACAATGAAGCTGAGTATGAGGCCCTGATCGGGGGTTTGAAGTTGGCTCGAGATCTCTAGGCGCGCAACATCAAAATTCGCTCTGACTCCCGGCTAGTGGTGGGCCATGTCAATAATCAATTCGAAGCAAGGGAGGAGAGAATGAGACAATACCGGGATGTGTTACAGAAGTTGTTGACTTCGCTAGATCGGTGGGAGCTGACCCAAGACCTGCTATCCAAAATCGCCCAAGGCACTGAAGATCACCTAAGCTATGTGTCAAAGATAGCCAAAATAATCGACGTCGACGCACCCAACATTAAGAAGGACAAGGTCCTAGCTGTAATGCCAGCCCTGGATGAATGGATGCAGGAGATGATCCATTATAAGGAACAATGTCTTACCCCACAAGACCCCCTAAGAGCACGAAAGATAATGGCCATGGCCCCGTCTTACCGGATAATCGAAGGAAAATTATTTAAACTATCCTTCGGAGGGCCCATGCTCCGATGCTTAACGAGGGCAGAAGTGGACAAAGTCATCACAGAAATTCACGAAGGGGTATGTGCCGCGCACCAGGGCCCAAACCCTGGCGAGGAAAATAATTTTACAAGGATACTATTGGCCCCGCATTAGGTCTGATTGCCAAGACAACGTGAGGAAGTGTCCCACGTGCCAACAGTTCGCGATATTGCCCGGTAAGCCTGCCTCCTACTACACCCTAGTTACCTCTGCCATCCCGTTGGCCCGATGGGGCATCGACTTGGCGGGACCCTTTCCTAAGGGGGTTGGAGGCTTGAAGTTCCAAATCGTGACCATAGACTATTTCACTAAGTGGGTAGAAGCGGAGCCCCTCGCCTCCATCACAGGGTCCAGTGCTGGAAGTTCATGTGGAAAAATATATTTACGAGGTTTGGCCTACCTCAACAGATCGTATCCGACAACAAGCAGTTCGACAATCAGGACTTTGCTCGTTTCTGCGCCTATTACGGGGTGGAGCATATCAAGGTAGCAGTGGCATACCCTCAAGCCAATGGTCAGGTGGAGAACGCCGAGCGTACCATCCTGGACGGCATTAAGAAGAGAGTTGAAGCAACCGGGTCTACCTAGTACGCGGAGCTGCCATCTATACTATGTGCTTACAGAATGATCCCCCGGAAAGCAACAGGGGAAACACCCTTCGCCCTCACATACGGGTGCGAAGCCAGAACACCAGTAGAGATAATGACTCCCGCAGGCAGGAGCGTGCAACCTCAACCCGACAAGAATGAGGAGGACCTGCGGATTGAGTTAAATTTCCTACAGGATAAAAGGGATGAAGCCGGTCGAACCATTGCGGCTTATCAGCAGGCGGTGAAGCGCAACCACGACGCGAGGGCATGCCCCCGCAGTTTCCAGGTCGGCGATCTCGTCCTACGCCGGTAAGAGGCCGGCAAACCACTACAGGGAGGCAAGCTGGCCAAAAATTGGGAGGGGCCGTACAAAGTGGTGGAATTGGTGCAGAAAAATACCTACAAACTCGAAACGATGCAGGGAACGACCATGAACCGGGTATGGAACGCCCACCATTTACGAAGGTTCTTTCAGTAGATAGGGTAGCCCTCAAGGAATGCCAAATAAGGTAACCTCCATGGCATTACCATGGTATGTTGCGTAACGTAAATGACACCTATGTCTTCATTAAACAATTTTATGTCGCACCATTAATGACATCTGTGCTTTTCACATCTGTGCTTTTTACATATTGCATTAAGTGTTACGGACCACTGGGCAAAGGTGCGTGTGGGTTATCACAACCCACATGCGCGGACTTGCCCCCGGCAAGCCGCATGGTGTTGACAGATGGGGCGTGTGGGTTATCGCAAGCCACATGGTGTTGGCGGATGGGGCGTGTGGGTTATCGCAACCCACATGCGCGGACTTGCCCCTGGTAAGCCGCATGGTGTTGGCGGATGGGGCGTGTGGGTTATCACAACCCACATGCGCGGACTTGCCCCCGGCAAGCCGTATGGTGTTGGCGGATGAGGCGTGTGGGTTATCGCAACCCACATGCGCGGACTTGACCCCGGCAAGCTGCATGGTGTTGGCGGATAGGGCGTGTGGGTTATCGCAACCCCATGCGCGGACTTGCCCTCGGCAAGCCGCATGATGTTGGCGGATGTGGCGTGTGGGTTATCGCAACCCACATGCGCGGACTTGCCCTTGGCAAGCCGCATGATGTTGGTGGATGGGGCGTGTGGGTTATCCCAACCTGCACTACCCCATCCCACAACCTTTAGTTACCTTCATCAAAAAAAAAAAAAAAAAAAAAAAAAAAAAAAAAAAAACGGGAGAACGAGTAGTACATTAAATAAGGACGGTTGGCAAAACATCCAAAGCAAACTAATCGACAAACTAACTAAGTAGATTCTAAAAACTATGCCTAAGACAGTGGGGCCGCAGAGGCGACTGCTGAGCTAGAAAATCCGGAGCCCGAATTGATGGCGAGATGGAAATCAGAGGGGTCCACGCTCCCAACAATGACAAATCTGGCCACGGGCTCGGAGGGAGCCGCAACGGACGACGTCACACCGACCTGGACCGCCTCAGGAGTCATAAGCATGTCTCCACCTGGGGGTGTCGTAGAAGAAGGCGTCGCCGAGCTCGAGTAGGCCGAAGGGGAAGGATGTCTGGCAGTTTCCACCCCTCAATACTGAAAGGGGAGAACCGGCTTCCCATGAAGATCATCTTGCATATCCCGCTGCCCCATGTAAAAAGTTGCATTGCATTCCTGCACCAGCCTGGTCTAACCCTCCGTCGTCTCATGCAACCACACTTCCGCTACGGGCCCCATAGCCGCCTTACCTCCTGGAGTAGTCGCCCATTCCTGGAGGACCTGTAAAAGTGGAGGGCCTGTGTAATCCTGGTACTCTTGCACAGATTGCCACCCTAACATAGCCTCAACCATGCCTTCACCGGAGCGATCAGGATGCTCCAGCCAATAACGAATCAACCCAGGCATGCGTGTGCAGGAGTACTCAGTCGCAGCACGGGCAAAGTCCTCAGTCCCCTGCCAGTCCTCCACGACGTCGTCAAGAGCCTTCGCATGATCCTGTTGCTGTTATTGATGATCCTCCTGCAAGCTTTTGTGTTCCTCCCGAAGGGCCTGGTGTGCAACCCCCAAGGCCTTATGTGCCTCTTTCAGAGCTTCCAGCTCTCTCAGTATTTCTTTACGGGCCTCATCGCCCTCCTGGCGGGAGCGCTCTAAATCTTGGTGTGCCTTCTCTAGCTCGGCATACTCTCGAGAGGACTCTTGCAGGCGATGATGAAGCCCGATGGATTGCATAACCATCTAGTGTGAAGGGTTGAGGTACGAAAAGAAAAAAAACACTTGGGCACTTACATTCATGGAATCCCCAACTTGGCGAGAGCTCAAGGCCTCCATCGGACTGCTATCGATCCAGAAATGCCGTGGAGCTGGCACCATATCTCGCACCCCGCGAATGATGAAATCCACATGCTCGGGATCGTAGGGACGGAGGCGGGGGCGACCCGGGCCGGCCGAAATCCTAGCAGCCAAAGGGTCGCGGGTGTCATATTCACCGGAGGAACTCGAAGTAGCTAGGGGCACGGCCAAAGGAGGCCCACGTGAGGGGGAGTCCACGACATGGAACGGAGTAAGCGGGGAGAAGCGAGTGGGTGAAGAGTGAGTGTTGGAATCCGTTCCATCCAGAATTGGGTCATCCATGAGTCCCACCGAAGATGCCCCTTCATCTTCTTCATCACCATCACCATCACCATCACCATCAGAGGCGGCTTCCAAACTAGCAACTCGTTGTCGTTTACGAGTCTAGTAGGCTCTAAGCATCTGGGGGGTACTCTCGACGGGTGCTATAAACACCAGGTAAGGCCATAAGTACAACAGCAAAAAAAAAATGGGGGGAAACATACCCATAGGTTGACCGGTACTGAGTTGGTAGAGCCGGCAAGGATCATGGTATCTCCGATGGTCATGGGAACCGTCAGCACATAGCCGCGCCCTGTCGACATCCATACCCGAGTAAGCCGGGGGCGTATAAAGAGGAGGGTATTGCACCCACACATTGCTAAATCCCAGCCCAGAAGCATCTGCAGGATAGTGAAGGTACACAGATTTTTCTTTCCAGTTCTTGGGAAGATATGGTAAAGGAGTCACGAAGGAATAGTTAGGGACAGACTAGAGGTTGAGAAAAGATGACCCGCTCTGGCTTACGTTGAAAACATGCAGAAGTAAGGATAGGGAAGGAGCTACTTTAGCTTCCCGGCAGCGGGTGAGAAAACAAGTGATAAAGCGGTAGCCATTCGGGGTCATCTGGTAGGGTGCTATCCCGTGGCAGTCTAGAAATGCCCGAGTAAGGGGGTGTGGAGGAAACTAGAGGCCCACTTGAATTGACTGGTAATGAACGGCCACCCGATCGAGTGCGCATGGATCTTTCATGGATCCATCCTCCCCGGGCACAGTGATTTCAACATCCTCACCCAACCACTCGTCTAAAGAAGCAAGTTTGGCTTGTGAAATTTTAGCATGCATGCCTCGGGGAGTGGAAGGATCAAGGTGGCGGATGGAGGAGCCGCTAGTAGGGGGAGCGCGAGGTGACATGGGTGACATAGGAAGCGACCTCTGAGCAGGGCGGAGGGTTGGATTGGAGAAGGCAGGAGAATTGTTGGCAGTAAGTGGCGAGCGGGTGATACCAAAAGCCTCAAGGCCCCGATTAGGTAGTGAGGTGGACACGGAACCAGAGGGATGAAGAGTGGGGCGAGGAACCGTTGTGGCTGGGGGCGAGGCTTGAGGTGATGGCTGGCTAGAGCCCATGGTGAAGGCGGCCGCAAGCAAACCGGTGGGAGGCGTGGTGTGCATAGATCGTGGTGTGGTGTGTAATGGGGTGATAGGTAGAAGGCAAGATTGGGTAGTGAGAGTTAATGCTGGAGGGAGGCCAAGAGATACGAAGATGATAGGTGGAGAAGATTGCTTTAAATAGGTGGAAGGGGAGGAGTAGTTGAGATTGTTGGGGAAGCCCGCTATCTAATCTGACTGGGAGAAGGACTAAGTAAAACCCTACTTCTACTTCCTTTAGGCATCAAGATACCTAAAAGAAGTGGGGGACTTGTGATGGGGATATTAGGTATGGGCTAGAAGACCAAACAGGCCGCGTTGTTGGTCCAGGAGTGGAGGGGTTCTCTGGGCCGGGTAGGGCGCCACGTCGCCAGGTCGGCCGGTCGGCATCGGCCGCCGGCGACAAGGCCGAGAGGACCGCCGGCTAGGGCGCTGGCCCCAGCCGCCGATAGCGCGGCCAGTGCGCGGCTTTGGCGCCCCCATCGCGGGGACGGGGCGCCGCGTCTGTAACACCCCGTGTTACGGCCTCTAAACCAATTAATTATTTAATCATTTACCCAAATGAAAGAATTAAATTCCATTAATTAATTAGGAAGAGTCCACCATAGCCCATGGACCCTTATCCCTAAAACCAATCCCTTAGTCCTATAAGGAATAGAATTAGCAAACCCATACCATTTAGACCCTAATTGGGACTCTTAGATATATAAATAGGGACATAGGAGGCACCTAGAATCCACACCACAATAACTTTCACCACACAAGAATTCCCATAGGAGAAATCAAGAAAGAAGGGATCTTAAGGACCCTTCATAGCCAAGGAATTTAATTAAGGCTAAGAGGTAACCCATGTCTCAACAAAACCTATTTTCTTTGCTATAATCTTCTTCTTTGGCTCTTTCTATATGCTTGTGTCTTGATGAAATCTTCTATGATAATTATGATATGATCTTGATGATTGATGAGATGATTTTATGTGTGATCTTGATGATGATAAGAGGATCTTGATGATTTTGTGATGTTCTTGATAAATCTTGATGTTTCTTGATATTAGAGATGAACTATGATCTTGATGATTTAAATATGATTAGAGCCCTAGGTTGAATCATGAATTTCGTATTGAGATATTCTTGGTATATTTGGGTGGGAATTCACATGATCGGGTGTTGATTATGTTTAGGAGTCATGATAGGATGTGTTTTATGTGATTCTTGCATTTGATCCGTTAATTGTCTACGTGGTGTCGTCATTTGCGTTT